CACGAATGTCATGGCAATTTTCTGCTTTTAACAACATGAAATTCTTAGTAAGAAAAATGACGAAAATTTAGACTTTTCATTCAAATTTCAAATTTCATGCTGGGTTAAGCAAATAGGACAAGCTGTACCACTAAAATAAAAATATCAGTACCATTTGTATAAGAAGGTATCTTGATATTAAAAGGGTATTTGAGAAGGTATTGTCTAAGCTAATCTAATTACAATTGAGAAAATATATTTCTCAAGAATATACATACTTGCCCTGGAGTAGTCTTATAATCAAATCGATCTGAGGCTAAACAGTAACACATGACAGCCAGTCCTGTTTGGGTATCACCAGGAAATGTCGCACAAAAAGATATCAAAGAGATTCAATCGTGTGTCATAGTCAGGGGTTAAAGTGGGTTGTGTTTTCTGTTCCAGAATTTAGAGCACTACTAAGTTTTAATATTACTCTTTCTAGGTCCCAAAATAAACTTTTAAGATATTTTCAGGCAAGAATGTAGCTGTGTAAACTTCAAATATCTGCTTGATTTATCAAGACATCACATATTTGCAAAAGTGCTCTGACGTTTTCGGAGATGCCTGTTACCCACCAGCTCGATAACTGACTGGGAGGTCAAGGCTCACTAGAGCCAGCAAGAACACTGGACTCCTGGCACATTGTTTTCAGACCCCTGCGGTCTTTCGCTACTCAAGTTAAACATGATATATAAGTCACTTAGACAACTTAAAAATGTTATTGTAAGGCTTTTTTATTTGTTCCTGAGTAAATTGGTTTGACTGAGATTTAAGTTTTCACACAGCTGAATAAACGTCAAACAGAAAACTGCTTAAACAGAAGTGTGAGATGGTTATACTTTAGATAGCAAGGAGAAGATGGCTGAGTTTATTAAACTTCACCGAGACAGCTGGTGACGCAAATCTGAAGGCTAAACCATCCCATTACCAGCCTCGCACTTCTAGCCTTATCGGTCTTCGAAGGACCCGGGCCTGCGTAGACCGCAACCTTTGAAGGATGCGGCTTAGGAATTGGGAAACAGCTATTGGGTCTGTACATACGACATTATGTTTTTTCATATTGTGAAACATGCTACAAAACACATTAAGGTAGACTAATTATGTTATTAAAAGGCTGCACGAATAAAACTGCAGGTTAGTGCAGGATAAACAAGTTAGTTTGCTGTACTGTGATGGATTTAAAGTAAAAAACAGTGTAAAAATGGTGCACAGTGTCTATCTAGTATAAAGTCAGCATAGACAGTGTACTATTAGTAGGGCTGCCACGATTAGTCGACTAGTCATGATTACATCGACTATCAAAATCGTCGACGACTAATTTAGTAGTCGACGTGTTGTTTGAAGTTCTGTAAGATCCCAAAAGATGCAGGAATAAGTAGTAGGATTTAAGAGTGTAATAACGGACTAATACAGAAGATGGCAGCACTGCATGTACAAGGATGCCAGCTGCCGTTAAACCCCGAAGAAGAGGAACCGCATCCTCCTGTGCCCGCATTTGTAGGCCAATTACGTTACAGCAACACGACGAAGACTGTCCAAATTCGAAGACTCAGACAAATGCGTCCTGTTATATTTTAGTTAACAAGGAGCAGACGGCTCAGTTTATTAAACTTCACCGAGACAGCTGGTGACGCAAATCTGAAGGCTAAACCATCCCATTTCACAGCCTCGCACTTCCAGCCTTATCGGTCTTCGAAGGACCCGGGCCTGCGTAGACCGCAAGGGCAAGGTCCTTCGAAGGATGCGGCTTAGGAATTGGGAAACAGCTATTGGGTCTGTACATACGACATTATGTTTTTTCATGTTTTTTCATATTGGACAACAATCTGCAAATTTCATTAAAATTTAATAAACTATCATCTTGTCTTTATTTTTAGTTAGCACAAACCTTAAACACTTCAAGCTGTAAGCTAATGATAGTTATATAAGAGCAGATGCTGCTGGTGCAATAAGCTGTACGTTTTACGTCCAATGGATGATGATCTGATTAGTCGACTAATCGCAAAAATAATCGGTGACTAGTCGACTATCAAAATAATCGTTTGTGGCAGCCCTAACTATTAGTGCAGAGAATGTAAGTTAGCCAGGACCACTCGTGAAACATCTTCTTACATCTGGTTGAATTCAAGTGTATAAATCTGCAAAGAGCAGTTCAGCAGATCACAGTCTCTTCATTAAGAAAATCTATTGGAGCTCTCAACAGAAATTATTGTGAGCTGTGCTTCTTTTCCCCACGCTGAACTATCAAAACTGATTTTAGGGTTCCCCCACCCACTGCAACATACTCAACCATTGCAACAACATTCATCCACATTACAGCTTTCATTCACAAATCTATTGCATTTCACCATGAAGAAAGCACAAGAAAGATGTGTTTTCTTTTTATCACCCTATAACCAGACAAGAACACCATTATTGGTTGCTTCTGCAAAACACACTTTTCAAACTTTATGTCACAAAGCCAGAATTCAGAGATTAGAGCTTGATCATGAAAAATAAACAATCAATTGAAATAATGATAGGGTTACGCAACTAAACATAAAGATTAGGCTATTATAACAGTAAATGCCACCCGCACAACACTACAACAACCTTCACACCTTTACTTCCTCCAGTGGGGAATTTTGTCACTGGATGTACAGCTTCAGCTGAAAATGTATTCAATGTGGAGATCAATCTCTGGAAAATCGGCCATTTTTATTCTGGAGTAAATTTCCATCTGTCTACATTCCCCAATCACAATATCACCAGACGTGAGTGTGTGTTTGTGTGAAAAGACATCAATCTGTCTCAAGGACTAGAAAGAGACAAGTCTCACAGCTACACAGTTAAATCTGTATTTCACGAGTCATAGGCAGTTGTAAAAAACAAACCATCAGTAATATTCTGGGTCAAAATGAAGCTGATTGTGGCAGCAGTAATTAGATATCTGAAACAGAGTTAGTTAAACAAACTGCAGTTTGTTTAACCAAACTGCAGTTTGTTTAACCGTAGTTACTTTACCGTAGTTTACCAATGAACAACAATGCAAAAATGCAAAGAATGACAGACTCCAAATAGAAGTCAGTCTCATAGATTGCGCACAAAATATGGACAAATCTACTGTGACTTTACACAACTCTGCATTTTGAATTTTTGATGTTCGAATTTCAGCTGCTGTCACAAGTGGCCATGTTTGGATAAGATGGTAAATTTTTCAGTTAGCAGCTAATGCTAACAAGCTTGATTTGCCTAGTACAGGTGCACCTCACAGGCAGATACTAATTAGTAAAAGACTAAATAAATACTAGAACTTCACTCAACAAATCTGAGAAAAAAATACTCAAAGAAAGGTGGTGGTTTTGAGACTATAATATGATTATTAAACAGAATTTAGCCTACAGAAAAAAATCTAAATAGTTGAAACCTATGAAAAATCTTCCCTCTGTCTATACATCCTGTATAGCAGATATCACTTTATAAAGATTAGTAGTTTGTAATAAATAATGTATTCAGAAAAAAGTATATTTTGCTGGTTTTTAATGTCTTATTTCTGTATGATGCCTAAGCGAGAGAGTATTTCAAATCTTGGCATTCAGTGGAAAGAAATGAACTAAGGCACTTGGTATAGACATCTCCTGTCTGTAAAGCATTTTAAAATGTAGCTGTCTTAATTTGACTCACTCTGTAGCTAAATCCTATCAAAATTACTATTGTTTTGATTTCCCAGGTCTGGTGATTTTTTTGATTTTTTCTGTACCAGCCAATGTATTTTCAGCATTGCTTACAAGTATTTAATTTTAAAAATTGGCTAATTAAAATTTGCTAAAAAACAATTAGCTATCTAGCCTAAAAACAAGCTGTGAGCAAGCTATCAGAGTTCAGCTTTACTTTAAGGTCAGCATTTATCCTGCCAGAGGATGTTTTGGATGCTGGTAATTGAACAGAACAACTACTGTACATGTGACTGGTGCTCAAGACAGAGCTGCCTCGAATCTGAAAACAAACTCAGGTGTCTGGTGTCTGTTCCCCTCTTATCACCCTTATCTTTTAGGACAAGTCCAGCATGACCCGAAATATTTTGCTCATTATCCAAAAAGTAGGTGGACTGTCTGATTCTCTGCAATCTATAGACAGATTCCTGCATTATTGTTCTATTGCACTTGATGTCTGTAGCAGTCCCATGATTACGATATGAAGGATATAGAGAAGAAGAAGGAAAGCACATATTCCTCGTCTTGATTACTTGTTGTTTGATTAGGCTTAATTTAACTAGTCTGTTTGTGTGTTAACTTTAGATCATATTTTAGTAAGGCAAACACTGATTGAATTAACTAATTGCGATAAAAAAAAATATACTCATCAGTATAAGAATAAAGATTTTGAGATAAGTTTGAAGAAGGTGGATGGACTGATGGATGGATGGACAGATGGACATAGAGATGGATGGGACAGCTGGATGTTCCAAAAATGGTCTGCCTCAACATGCTCTTTCATGTCTACAAACAGAAAATATTAGTGTCCAATTTCTAAATTCAAGTTTCAAGTTCTTCTTGCTTAATTTATCCAGCAGTTTGTGTTTCTCAGCACCACCACAGTCTGACTTAGTGGCCATTGAATGCCTAAGGGCACCTTTACACTTGTAACAAGTGTTTCCATTCCAACACGTGTTTTTTTCCTGCACAACCAACTTATAAATCGGCACCGTTTTAAAGACTCTTAAAGTAAATTGTAAATCATCATCACTGATAAAGAGGGAAGAATATAAATTTGCAAAACCTCTGATCATGCTGGATTTGTCTTTTAAGTTGTATGTTGGCAGGCAGATAAATGAGCCGGAGCGTGCACTGTGCCTCGATATGTCAGTGTCTGAGCAGTCAGAATCACATACTGACATCAAAGATTAAACCTCTTTTGCAGTCGTCAAGTCCGCTCATTTGTCCGCAAACATGCCATCAAAGAACTGAACTCTTGTGTTATTGGCTGGCTGGGTCTCTTACCGGTCTCTGAGGTCCAGTGGGCTCAGACTCTCTCCGGCGAGGACGTCCTGATGGCAGAGAATGACAGGGCGACTGTGCTGGGCTGCCACCACTTTTCCTTGATGCCTCCTCCTCTGTTAGCGTTAGCATCCCCCGGCTGCTCTCCCGCGTGTGAGTCTTTGGACGAACTACTGGCTCCGCTCCTGCAAAGGAAACCAAAGACAATTCTGCAGTCAAAACCTCCTTCTGTTTACTTAAGTCACTAACAGGCTGCCACAGTCACTTGCAGTTTGCAAGATGCCAACTTGTCTGCAAACATTCACTGAACCATTGAGCGGTAGTGAAAAAGTGTGATGCAAACCAGAAACAGAGAACATTCAATTTCAAAGTAAGAGTTGTGCCTTAAGTTTAAAACGTTTGCTTTGAAGGCAAATGGTCTCAGTTTCTAGTTTGCTTTTATATAATTATGCTTTAATGTATTTAAAAAAAATTAGTTAAAACATCTAGCTATTTAATATAACTTGAGATTTATTGTGCAACCACTGCAAAACTGTCCAGTGTCTTTAAAAAAAGATAATATTAGCGAGCAGTTGAGCAATTTAAGGGTAGCCAGTTAGTCGTAACTTTGTTACAGCGAATGATTCTTCGAGTTATTAATAATAATAATGGATTGCATTTATATAGCGCTTTTCGGGACCCCTCAAAGTGCTTGGCCCTGGAAGAAGAGGAGCAGGCCAACGAGGAAGAGGAGATGAAATGAGAGGAGGAAGAGGAGCAGGCCAACGAGGAAGAGGAGGAGGCCAACATGGGAGAGGAGAAGGTCCAGGAGGTAGAGCAAGACAACCTTGCACCATCATTACGGACGAGATGCGAGCAACAGTCATTGACCATGTCATTGTCCATGGCATGACAATGGCTGAAGCAGGACTAAGAGTCCGTCCAAACCTGAGTAGGTTCACAGTGGCCACCATTATCAGGGCATTCAGACAACACAACAGGTATTGAACTCAATTGCTTTCTTTGTCACAATACAGTTTTACAAACCTATGAAAGGAGTCTATTGGTTTCAAATCAGTTGTGACTGTATTGTAACACATGTCAATTGACAACACATGTTTCTTTCTTTAGAGTTGAAAGAATGCCACATAGAGGTGGGAGGGTTGCCATATTTACAGCGGCACAAGAAACCCTCATTGTGGATATGGTTCGTGGGAACAACCTCATCAGACTCCGGGAGATTAGAGACAAAGTCATTGCCGATAATGTCAACTTTGAGAGCATTGACGATGTCAGCTTGGCCACAATAGACCGAGTTCTCCGGCGCCAAAAGACGCGGATGAAACAGGTCTATAGGGTTCCCTCTGAGCGCAACTCTGCGCGACACAAAGACCTACGTTACGAGTATGTGCAAGTAAGTATACATCCATGTTCACAGTACAATTAGTGGACATACTGTGTTTCTCAGTGGCCTACATTACTTCTGGACAATACTGTGCTACCTGATTGACTGTTGTTCTGAACACCTGTGCACTTTCACATTTTCACAGAGGATATTACAGTTGGACGCGATGGCCAGACCTCATGAGTACCTCTTCCTGGATGAGGCTGGCTTCAACCTGCAGAAACGAAGGCAAAGAGGCCGTAACATCATTGTCCAAAGAGCCATCACTGAGGTCCCTGGCCAACGGGGGGTAATATTACCCTTTGTGCGGCCATGGGTTCGGAGGGGCTTGTCCACCGGCATGCTGTCCTTGGGTCTTACAACACCTAACGTCTCCTCACCTTCCTAGAGGAGCTAAAAGACATCCTCCTGGACCGCCAACAACACCATCCTGGGCCCGCACATCACATTTATGTGATCATTTGGGACAATG